ACCTGGAGGTGTTCGGCCCCCGAACGGGACCCCGAACGCCCGAACGTTCGGGGGCCAGCCCGGGGGCCCCCGAACGTTCGGGGGCCAGCCCGGGGGCCCCCGAACGTTCGGTCAGGTAACCCTGTATATATATATATTTTTTTAACTCACCTTTGGCTAAGAATTTGAATATGACTCCAAGGCAAAAGTTGCTTGTATTGTTGTTTTACATAACATATATTTTTCAGGTTTTTCTGAGACTTTTTTTTTTTTTTTTTTTGCATTTTTTTTGTGCTCGCGTTCGGAGGGTTTTGGGCGCTCGTTCGTGTTCGGGCGAACATGTTCGGGTTCCCCTCCGAATGCAAACATGATGCTATGCAGTTAGGCCGTGACTGTTCTACAGTTCCTGTGGGTTTGGTGCCTTACCCACTTTTTTTTTTTTAACTCCTCCCCCCCAACCCCCTCCTTCCCGCCAGATTGAAGTTATTGTTATATCGAGGTTGTTTTGGGTATAGTTTTTTTTTTTTTTTTTTTTTTACATGTCGTCTGCATGTTGCTATCCACGTTGAAACAGTTAAATATGGTGTCTGCATGTTCGGAACTTGAAAAAAATAATAAATAAAAAATAAAAAAAATCTGCGCCCTCTTTCCACGTCCAGCACTAAGGTGTTCTTTCTCTCTCTCTCTTAGCTGTCTGCATGCTGCTATTCAGACTGAGGGCATACTCTTACACTAGCACTTTCCGAAATGTATCTGGCTGCAACTATGTATGGGCAGACCTCACCTTCCAGAGCATTCCACTACTAAAAGAGTTCAAGCCTGCTCTCCTCTCCCTAACCACTGATACCTTCCCTCCGCTAACCCCCCTCCCTCCTTCCCTGTCCCCCACTCCCTTTCCCCCCTCTCTTCTTCCCTCTCCCCCTCTCCTTTCTGTCTTGCCTTTTGTCCCTCTTCCATGGTGTCCCACTCTGTCCTGTCCTGTCCTGTTTGGCTTATATTCCTCTTCCTTCCTTCCTTCCTTCCTTCCTTCCTTCCTTCCTTCTTCTCTCTCTCCCCCCCCCCCCTCTCTCCCTTTCTCACTCTCCACCTCGGTTGCGCTCTCTCGCACCTTGCCGTGCATTGCACAATCGTCGAGGCTGGGGCCATCTGGAAGTCTGTCCCGATCACACTACTATTTCTCCCGCGTTAAAAAAAAAAACTGTTTCTCGGACTTTCTCCTATGTTGTATACTCTTGTGGGCGCTTTATTACAAAAGAACTGTCCAATGGCATTGCTTTTGAGT